CCTTTCAGGCTCCACAAAAGAGCATAGCAATGATCAAAGCACAAAGTCTGCCTTCAAGAACAGAGCACAGGGTCTGCATTTTGAGACTTATCTGGTTCTTACAGATGGAAGGACCAAAAGATAAACATGAGGTAATCTTCCTAGAAGTAGATTTTATCAAAGTCTTCCAGGTTGCTTTTCCTTTGGAAAGCAATATATAACTGAAATTAAATTTCTCCTTGACAACTCACCTGTGTCAGAGAATTTCAGATAGAAATCAACTAATCACAGTTTGAATAGATAGTAAGTAGCCAGTAAAGATTATCCCTCCCTACCCTTAGCACATCCCAGGACAAAGTCACTAAGTTAAAGATGTCCCACCATGACACCCTTCCAGCAAATTCCAAATCTTCTTTGGGGAAAAACAAAATTAAAAGTCCCCAGTCTTCCTTTTTCTGTCTCCTCACCAAGGACTAAGCCAGTCTGTCCCCACTGTCTCCCTGCTGCACCACATGTTTCTCAGGGACATGCTTGCATCTTGCATTCCCCCTGCTGAGGACTGATCATCTGTCTCAAACTTGCTGTCTCACCAGCAGCCAAATTGGCAAGTGCTTGTACGTTTTCACTTTCTGTCAGCTCAAAAGGACTCCCCATAATTTTTCTTGCTCTAGTCATTAATATCAGTTGTGCCTTTCCCTGAAATAAATGACCACCTGGCTGCTAGCCCAGTGGAAATGTCTGGAAAGATAACAAATATCTTTCCACAAGCCAAACAGATTACACATTATAAGCAATAGCTTCCTTCTAATATTTTCTCTAATAAATATTCCTTCCAACCCCTTCCTGTGTTCTCTCTAGTGTCTCAGTATCAGCTCTTCTTATCATAGCATCTTTTTGGGAACTCATGTTGAGTTTCTTGTCTCTTATAAATCCCAGGTCTCGCTTACTTATTGTCTAGTGGAGTATTAAATAAATTAAAAACATTCAGATTTTGTTTAAATAAGTGATGTTTTTCAAGGTACCAATATTTTCACTTATAAACCGGTTCTCTTTCTACTACCCTGGTCTTTGTGCCATCTGTAAAACCTGGCAATAGTGATTAGTAATCAAAGTCTTTATGAAAATGGTGCCATGCTAGGCCAGATCCTGAAGAATCCACCAAAATAACCTTCACTCTGAGAGGTGAGGCCAGACATTCCCTCAGGTCCCATGATGAACTGCTATCAATCCATTTGATACTTCTGTGCTAATAGTAAGATGTTGCCTGTTCATCAGGTAAAAACAGATTAAAAGACACAAAGTTCATAAAGTATGCTGCAGCTAGGTCTTTACTTTTAGCAGCCAATTCCATAATTTCATTAAAGAATGAAATCATGCTGGCTACAATTAATAGAGAACAGGCAATTCAGTTAGGTCGACTCTTCCGCAGCTTCTGAAATTTTTCATTTCAGAATATTACTTCAAAATGTAATTTAATAAAATTAGGACAATAATTTAAAGTGCTATCTTTGTGTTGCCAAAATCTAGTTATTAATTTAAACTTGTATACTGAATCTATTTCATTTTTTATATATATGTATTTTAATACTTTTATTATTGTTTAGAATGAATCACAGAAATCACAGAATTGTAGGGGTTGGAAGGGACCTCCAGAGATCATCGAGTCCAACCCCCCTGCCAAAGCAGGTTCCCTACAGCAGGTCGCACAGGTAGGCATCCAGGCAGGTCTTGAACATCTCCAGAGAAGGAGACTCCACCACCTCCCTGGGCAGCCTGTTCCAGTGCTCCGTCACCTCACTGTAAAGAAGTTCTTGCACATATTTGTGTGGAACTTCCTATGCTGCAGTTTCCGGCCATTTCCCCTTGTCCTGTCTCCACTCACTACTGAAAAGAGTTCGGCCTCTCCATTCTGCTCCCCACACTTTGGATATTTATAGACCTGGATCAGATCCTCTCTCAGTCTTCTTTTCTCAAGGCTGAACAGACCCAGTTCACTCAACCTTTCCTCATAGGAGAGATGCTCCAGGCCCTTCACCATCTCTGTGGCCCTCCGCTAGATGCCTTCCAAGAGATCTCTGTCTTTTTTGTACTGGGGAGCCCAGAACTGGACGCAGTACTCCAGATGAGCCCTCACCAGGGCAGAGTAGAGGGAGAAGATCACCTCCCTCGACCTGCTGGCCACGCTCTTTTTAATGCATCCCAGGATGCCATTGGCCCTCTTGGCCACAAGGGCACACTGCTGGCTCATGGCCAACCTGTCGTCCACCAGGACACCCAGGTCCCTCTCCGCAGAGCTCCTCTCCAGCAGGTCATCCCCCAACCTGTACTGGTGCATGCAATTATTCCTCCCCAGATGCAAGACTCTACACTTGCTTTTGTTAATCCTCATTCGGTTTTTTCCTGCCCAGCTCTCATCATGGAGAAGATTTAGAAACAATCTGGAAAGGAGTTGAATTTAGCTGACATTTCTTTATAAATTCTTTCTGTTGCATAAGATGCCACTCAGTTCTACGAATATCACAACAAACTACAAGCTTTCTCTATTCCCCTAGGAATGAATATAGATAACAGTGACACAAACTCCTGTTAAAAGTGCTTTTGCATGCAGAAAATTATTCAGTTCACTGGAAGCGTCAATGGTAATTTAAAAAGAAATAACAGGATTGGCTATTTAAGAATTAGATGATAGCAACTGTTCTCAGTAAATGACTTCAGGAACAATGGAGGTAAGGCACATGCAAAAAGTGATTCAAAAGTGGGCAAGAGACAGCCACATGGCTCCCACAGAGTTTTTACCAGAGTATGTTTATGGTTTTTGTAAAAGCAAATCCATTGCCAAAGCTGTAACTCAGCTTTCATTCAGAGGACTTTTCTTCCCATCCAGCTGTCACAAGAAAGCACCATGTTATTTTAAGCTAGAACTAAATTTTAGAGAAATAAAGTCAGGAGGAGAGGAGAGGGAGAAAGAGAAGAAGAAAGGAAAAGGACTATCATGTTTCCAAGGACAAGCAATTTTATTTATCAACACTGGCCAACTATTTTACTTCCAGAGATTAATAGTTCTGAGGGCTTGAGATAGGCTTTGACCGTGTCAAAATACACAAAGCTGTACAACTTCACTCAGATGAGGTCAGATAATTTTATCTGATTTCTACAAACCCATTTCTTGCCTCCTCTTCTCCTCTGTACCGTGCTTCTCACATAACATTTGCACTTTCTACCACTGCAGCAGGTAGTAAAACTCCCTGTTCCTCTCCTACTGTCTCCCAATGAAAAGAAGCAGCTTTAGGTGAGCATTACATCCCTTGTGCCGTACTGGCTGTTCGTCTGACAACAGACCCTTGGTACTTACACATGGACCATGCAGCTGATCTGAACACTGGGAGAGCTCCTGCAAACCATCCACAGCACTAATATCAACTGCAAGGAGGGAGCCAAGGATGCAGGTTTCATTCCTCTTTCAGCGCATTAAAAGTAAAATTTTGATGTGTCTGAATTGTCTGGAGTGCTTACAATAGAACTGGTCTTGTTCTGTTAGGATTTTGAGTGATGGGATTTGGGTTTATAAATCTGTTGTTTTTTGTTTAAAGACAGTAAATATCAATATATGCACTTTACAAGAGGAAACTGAGCCACAGAGCCACAAATTGACCTTGATCACTTTGATAGGTAAGAACAACGCTTTGTATCCCTGCAGTAAAACCAAGGGAAGAATGAATCCAGGTTTCCTGAGTCATGGTTTAACAGGCCACACTGGCACCACAGTACTAATGTACTACTCCCACTGTGCCTTCAACACAGCTCTCAATAAGAGCTGGAATGACTGGTCACCAAAATGAGGTGACAAATACACCGATCTCTCTATTACCCTATTTCAGCTCGAATGTTTTCCTATCACAGGAATTTCTTAACACATTAAAGAGATTTCAGAACAATGCCATTTCCAATTTTCTCCAACTCATATTCTTTCTCTACATCACTCAAGTGTTGGAAAGATGTACCTACCTCTGTCTCAACTTATCCCTTTCTTTTTAGCTCTGTCTCCCTTATCTGCATGGCTTTCTCTTCTTACCAATTTTTTTTTTTTATTTTCTTCCTGCTTCCATTTCTGCACTCACTGAAAACACACCCATTTGTCTCAAGAAGTCTGCAGCATCACCATGAGGGTTGTCTCCTTATCACTGAGGAGATATATGATACAAAATGAGGAGATATACTGATACAAAAATCTCACTCCTCCCTCATCCCTGGAGATATATGAACACCAGCTCTCCAATCTGGGGAAGAGCAAAGGTCTGTGACACAGCCCATCCCTCCAATAAATGAGCTGTTATGATCACATAGGAAGCATACTTCGGCTATTTGAAAGAATTCTTTTCATCTTTAGTAAGCCACGTAATTACACAATTTGCTTCCTTATCACAACTGAAAATTCATGTGCCAGTAGTGGGTGTTGGTCAAAACAGCAAAGGGAGTAGGAGCCAGGCCTGTGCTGCCTGCCAGTCCAGTAGGTATCAGGAGGAAGTATTTGGGGTTTGGAGACATGAGAAACAGTAAAGAGAAGACTCCTACAAATATAGTGTTCCTGGTGGTAAAGACAAGCCATTGCTCCATCTTAAAATTTCTGTTAGCTGCAGGAAAGTCAATTTGGGATGGCTCGGGGACACAATTACCCCCTTCCTGCTTTGTCTTTGCAGACCTTGGCTTTCCACATAAAGCATCAGTGCAATCTGCATTTTTCAATGGGTTATGAAAACTCATCTTGAGATGCACTTGTGAAGAGAGAGGATGAGTGGGAAAGAGAAAGGAAATTAAAAATTACGACAGAAATGAAAATACACTCTTGCATGAACATTTGGAATCTTAAATGTTCCATACTGAATACAATTAAATTTGTAATGTAAATACAATGTATTTAAGACTAAAGAAGGATCTGGCGGAGAGGAAGCCAAAGCTAGCTAGACCTTCATAAAAATAACCTTAGGAGGGTAATAGAAGAAGATAGAAAAAGAAATACATACAAATCAATATGATCCATCCATGCTGACTTGCAGGGTTCTGGATAAGTTTGAATTTTCTTCCATTGCTTGGACTGGCAAATCAGCACTGTACTGTTAAAAGATTGATGGCTTAGAAAACCTCTGCCTATGGCACTGTACATGTTAAGATTGGAGTCTCTCTTCTTGCAAAAATAAATTAAATATTTACTCTGGATGAAGAGTAAAATAGCTTGATGAGATATAAAAACTGCAGCATCACAAAGATGGAGCAAACCCGTTACCCTGCATTGACCACGGGAATCTTTATTTATTGAACTGACTTTTAAATGAGATTTCACTTTCATTTTTCAAGATATTCACCTGGTTCTGAGACATCTTTCATAAAGTACATCATCAATAACTTCACTGATTCCAGTTAACTCCTCCCATACCAAGTCTGGCAGAGTTATTTCATCATTCTGCAACTGCTTGACATTTATCATGCACACTTTGTTAACAAGATCAACCCGCAATCCCACCATTTTTCTTCCTATGTTCAAGGTGATTTCATTTATTGATCAAATACACCACAGGCTCACCAAAAAAAAAAAAAAAAAACAAACAAAAAACAGAGTTTTTTGCAAGATTCATATAAAATATGATGGAAGAGACTGAAAAGTTTCATGATTTCAATTTCTTTGGTTAGTCATTATCACCCTGCTGAGCTGCACTGTCCAGAAATTACTACAAATTACAAATGGGAAGAACAAAAAGAGAGAGAAAGCATAGCGCAGGAAAAAAAATATAACAATACACCAATATTGATGCATTTCTCTAAGTATTTCAATATGAAAAACTATTTGACACAGATACACAGTTTTCTCCTGTTTCCTGAAAAACAATAGGGAAAGTAGAACCTTCTCTGCATTTGTTATCTTCAAGGCAATGCCAACAACTGGAGTTAAACACCACTAAGCAGAGAAACAGCATCCCTTAGCTTACATTAAACGGATGTGATTCTTACTGTTTCCTTTTCTCCTACCTCATTAAGAGAGCTACTAGGTGACGAGGCAGCAAAATATCAGTGTCCACACAGCTGGATACATAAGCCATGTCTAGAGGATTCCTCTCAGGCAGAGAAAAAAATAAAATCACAAAAAGAAGGTACCCTGCAAAAGTTTCTATCTCCCACTTTCTCTCAGTCAAAGGCAGCCTCTCATCCCTAGAGGGCACCCGATGAACACAGCTCAGGGGCACCAAGCACCTTTCCCACAGGCTGCAGGATTCATCACCTTTATCCAGTTCCTCCCTTCTCTCTGTAACTGCACTTCCATGCAGGTTCTGTGACTGAAAAGATTTGGGGTCATTCTGGCTCCTTTTTTTTTGTTCAGTTCTTGATATATGCAGACTCAGACAGCTTCTATAAATTCCCCCCGAGCTGCCAAATTTCAGGACAGCCATTTGCACTTCCATCAAGTAAAGCCCCTTACCTTATGATGACAAACATCACCAGAGAGTTTCCCACCAAGCCAACAACGAAGACCACCGAGTAGACAGCGGTGATGATGATGGGAATGGAGGGGGAGATGCTGGTGTAGTTGTGCTGGGTGTCCCCAAAGGTCCCAGTGGCATTGCTGTCATAGTCTGCCCAGCCCAGGGGCCAGCTGCTGCTGGTGCTGGGAGGGCGACAGGGCCCCGGCATGCAGGTGGAGTCCAGCTCCTCCCGGAAAATCTGTACAGGGGCATCCATAGAGACCACGGCTCCCACAGACAAGAGAGAGACTGGGAGGAGGCTGCAGGAGAAAGAATGCTAGAAAAGGGAAAAAGAGGGAATGAGACAGAGGTGCTATCACAGCCACTGGATATAAAGAGCTATAAAATTTGTACCTGTTAAGGGGAACACTGCTGTAGCAAGAACTGTAGCTTGCCAAGCAGGGATTTAAATAAACCACATTCAAAATATATAAACATAAGTTTTACATCTCCGTATGTAATAAGTGTTTCTCCTCCAGGTGCACGAGGAAAGTTTCCCTCCACTTTCAGAAATTACAGAGAAACAAATCAGATGGGAAGCAGTTCAGATCCACCCCCACTCTTTAACTCTCTCTTTCCCATCCTCCATCTTTTAAGTCAAACAGCATCCTAGTGACAGGGGCTCCTTGCTCCCTAAACTCTACTATAAACAACAAAAAAAATCTACCACCTCTCTGTATACCTGCTTTGGCATAAGCCCTGCCTTATCTTTTTCTAGATCTCATGCTTGCTTCTAAACAAGAGACAAATAAATGACACGAAATACCTCTCAATCCAGGAGAAGGAGCAGAGTCCTCAGGCAGATATTAACAGGGAAAAAAAAGCATCCACTTGGCTCCTGGGAGTATCACAGATCTTCTAGGACTTTTGAACCCGAGGCACCTGAGCCCTCAGAGATGCATGCTAGCAGCAGAGCTGACTCCTGAGCATGAGCTATGGCATAGTAGCAGCAGCTGCTGCTGTTCCAGCTCCTACCACTTTACCTTTTCCCTCCCAGGCTCTCTCTGCTTCCCTCTCTCCGTCAGGGCTCCAGCAGCACGCTGCTCTGATGCACGCGTTCTCCTCTGCCTCTGTCCCTGCAGCTCAGAAGCTCACATGACTTCTGCCTCTGCGCTCAGAGGCAGACAAAATAAAAGAAATAACTTCTGCTGTGAGTGGGTGCTTGGTTTTGTACACTTTTCCAAATCAACTTTTCTCATTGCCCTCACACTCCCAGGCCTTAAGCAAAGATCCCCTTTGCCTTTCTGAATTCTGCATGCATTTACAGGCTGGTAGATGCTGAATAAAACAGAATTTTTCAGTTTAGATTTCTTTCCTGACCTGTCAGACTTTTCCTGCCTCAGCTTCACAACTGTGGATCCCAAATGCTTCTCACTGGGTAGCTGTGCTCCTCTTCCTTTATGCCTGCAACCTGGAGGAATGCCAGAAACTGGATCCCACAGCACAGAGAGGCAGGAACATCTGGGAACAGCCTGATTGCTGTCTATTTTTCATTCAACTGTGCCACACTGTGAGAAGCCAAGTATATCCTGCTGTGGTCAGGGATGGAGAGGAGGAGTGTGCAGAAATCAAATTCCTCAGGCTTAATCCCTTAAACACTCCATCCTGTGGGGCTGAAAACACACTAATCTTTGTTTGAAATCCCAAATCCCAACCAGAGTTCCCTGAGTAAGTGGCGTCTCCTTTGGAAGGAGCAGAGAATAGGCCAGGCAGGCTGTGCAGGACAGCAGGTCTCCGCAAGCACCTGCAGGGTGTCATGCCTCTCTGGACATTTTCTGAAGCTCAGATGGTCAGGAAAGGGTTGTGAGTTTCCTTCATCCTTATGAAACTTTACTCCAAGTTCTTCTGATAGGCTGAGGTTTCCATTTTTAAAACATTTTTTTCTTTCCAAATCTATAATCAAGATGAGAAATGGCATCAGCCTTAGACTCAAAAGTCTAGAAGGAGTTTTAAAATGTACAGAATCCCTTTCTGAAAGATCAAGGCTCACGCTAGCATAGTGATGGCCATGACTATGCTCACTGGAAAACATCAGCATCTGCTCACTGTCACCTACTTGGTGCTGTCTGGAAGTTTCACCCTTGATAAGAACATCAAAAGTGCAAGGCAACAAACACATGACAGTAAATCCCCTCAACCAAATATATTTTAAAGGTGGAAAACTCGCCTGGGACAATAACCGTTACTTGGAAGATAAAGTGAGATCCTAACATAACATACCCCCTGATCCTGTTTTTTCCTTTTGCAATCCATGGGCCTACATAATTGTACCAAAGGGAATTATTACTGCTGCTTCACCTCCTACATAGATTTATTTGGAGATTTTTAACTTCTTGTGAACACCTTCACTGAACTTCTCCACATTCTGTAATTAATAATTTAGCATTCGTTGCTAAATTCTCTCTTATCAACAATTGTTTGTTGCATTGGTTTTTGTTTGTTTGCTTGCTTTTTGTGGGTGTTTGTGTTTGTTTTGTTGTTGCTTTTTTGGTATTTTTTTTTTATAAGTATCTGAAGTGTGAGCACATACAGCTGCAAAATAATTAAGTGAACACTAAGGGTTAGGCTGGAGATACTGAGGAAGAAGCAACAGTTCATCATTCTGCTATTGCTACAGTTGGATCAGAAATGGAGAAGAAAAGCTTACTATTGCTCTCTGCATAAATCCAAAGCAAAGATAATGTGAAAAATTCACTAAGATTAGTTAATAGCAGACAAAGAATATTCAAGCATCAGGGGCTGGACAGTAAGCTCCTCTTTCTCTAGCTACATTCTGTGCTGAAACTCTTCAGGCATCTTAAAGTCAGCACACACACACACACACACACTCTATGTGTTTACAGCAACAGTCACTGACCCTTAATGGTGTAAGTATGCATTATATCTGCATGAAGCTGGACTGAGGTGGAGCTCAGCCATGGCACTGCTAGCTGCATGGTGAGGCATATGAGGGGCAACATTTAATCGGCTGGTGCCTTCTGTCTGAATGTGCTCCACTTCAGGGGCTCTATTCTAGCTATTGCTTGTTGCAGGTCTTTACAACTCAGTAGAAAGAAAGCATTAGGAATAAAGAAATGCCTTTTTTCTTCTGCAATTTTAGACAAATTCAGATAAACTGTTACAAATAATATTTCTCTTTTGCATGTTTGCTTTTCTGAGGAAAACTTCAATAGCTGGATTACCAGGAATAACTGGCCTCACTGCATATCCTAGAAACTTCTGCAGTGGTGGCTAAAGGAAGCCTGAGGACAGAGGAAGAACCATGCTCAGTCACACCCCCCTCTCCTCCAGCAAATAACTGTTCGGTTGCCACTGGGCCTTTCCAATAGTCCTGCAGAAAAGGACAGGAGTGTCCCAAAGTCACAAAGGAAGGGAAAGAAAGGGTTGGCAGGAGGTCAGCCCAACCGGTCCACACCAAAATTTCTGCCAGAACTCCCTGTTCCCCTGAGGGACTCTATTAGATAAGAGACCTTACTCTTCTCAGGGAAAGCAAGGAAAAATCTGGGAAAGGATAAGGGCATAAAAGCACGATATCAAACACACAGCTACAGTCTGTCTCTAGCTCTGATTGTGCACATCTGTGGCTTAAATGCCACAATTTTCTTCTTATTACAACACTATAGATTCAGCATTCAATTCTCAGGACTTTAGGAGAAAGAAGAGGAATAAATTGGACTTATTTTTCATTAAAAACAGAAAACCATACATGAAATTTGATATTTAAGAAACACTATTTAAGTCATGAATGCCAGTCCTCAGAGTTAAAGAAATACCACAGCCAGCTGTCTGATAGCCAGGCAGCAAAACACTAGGGGTTCTGTGCCTCATTCTTAGATAAACTACACAATATTGCAACATTTAAGCCAGAGGAAAAAAACATAAACTGGAAATTTTGTATCTGTAAAGTGTTTTCTTTTACAATTCTAGTGAAATTATTTGAATGAATAAAGAACACCGAGGGCAGGGATATGTGTGATGTTTAACAATAGCAGGTGGGAAGGGCTTCCACATTGTCTTCAGGTTTTTTATCTCTAAAATCTAAAATCGTTTATTGCTCAAAGAGCCACCACCATCAGCGCAGTGCTTCAAAATCATCATAATGCACTGGAATATTAATGCAGCCCTGACTCAGAGGTAAGAACAAAGCTCAGTGAGTCATTGGCACGACTCGGGGACCACAGCAGCATGCATGGTTTTAGGTGCCGTGTGAAAGTTGCTGAGCTTCCAACACTGTCTCCCTGAAGATCGTGACACATTCCAGGTTTAAGGTGAATTTTCAGAGCAGGGCAGACCTTGAAATCCAGCTGTGAACTTCGAGATCATGTGAAGAGGCCTCTTTTTATTCTAGAAATTGTGAGGGCGGCAAGATGAGTTAAGTGGAGCAGACTATCAGAATGCTTTTTTTAGTCCATAATTGTTTTTCCTACCTGATTGACCAATGGATACAATCATGGTGAACCCGAACAAAGGGAAGAGATGCTGGAAGAGCTTTTCTGTGGCTCCAGTTGCCAGGGAAACAAAGTTCTCCTGTCTGCATTTATCCAGAAATGCCGTCTGGCTGCATAAGCCCACACCTTGGGAAATGTTGCATTTCATCCATCCTTTTCAGAGGCAGAGGAAGGGGAAAAAGAGAGGCAGGAAAGCATAAAGAATGCTTCCTCCTAAACAACTTTCATACCTATATTTTAGTCACAGAGACTGTAAGTATTCAGCATAAGATTCATAGTTCAGTTCTTAATTGCAGATGGCAGAAATTTGTGACCCCTTGGACATCTTCCTTTTGTTTTGCTTAATCAAGGTCCCTAACTGGAAGTTTCCTGTCTTCCTGCTTGTCCAGAGCAGGCTGCACCTGTGTTTCTCTTCTTAAGAAATAACTGTAGTATTTCACACATGTCTGTACTTCAGTTCCTACTTCAAAATTAAAAATAAAATAAACCCCCTAAATCTTAAAGTCTATCTAACTGTTTATGCAATGATCGTTCACAATTAGACCTCCTATGTGTAGATCACTATCAGTTAATCATTTGGCATGTTGAAGCATTGGTAGCTGGCACACAGCTCTGTGAAGGGAATGAGGATCAGCCAACGCAACCCAGACTTCGGCTGCAAGGCATGAGAAGCTCTTGATGCCATTGATAAGCTTTATGGGAATAAACAGAAGTCACTAAGATTAAACTGGTGGTTTTTTGCGGATGATGCCATTGGATTGTGTCAGATAAATACTGGCTCTAGATCCTGGAGAGACATCTTTTTGCCTTTTCAACATGAAAAAAAATAACTCATTTCCCCAAAGCAAGAGCTACTATCAATTATATGAATCACGGTTATGGTCAGAAAAGATCAATAAGAATATCTAGTCCAACTATCAACCCATCCCCACTATGTCAGTAAACTATATCCCTCAGTGCTGCAGCTGTGTGTTTCTTAAACACCTCTGGGGATGGTGACTCCACCACTCCCTGGGCAGCCTGTGTCACTGCCTCACCACACTGAAAAGACAGTTTTCTTAATATCCAACCCCCTCTGGATATCCAAATCTTAATCCTTTTCGCAACAGAATTTGGGCTGGTTTTTTTTCAGTTTTCAAATGCCCAGAATAAAAAGAATCGGTCTGAAAACAAAGATTCAGCTGAAGCAAAGCATATAAAGCAAATTTTACATATATAACTCCAGAACCTTGCCTCTCCTACCTCCTCTGGTATCTTCAGTCACACATAATTAATTGTTTAAATAATGAGATGAAAAATGGGGAGTTTAGCTCTCAGAATAAGAGGCTCTGCCTGCACCAGCCGACTAAGCCAGTCTCTGCTGACTCCAGGACAGAGTGGGGAAGGCAAATCATCTCCAGTTCCCTTCTTCCCGCCTATCGAATTCTGTTCATCACCCAGCTGACAGAGCTCCTGCTTGAGCCTGTAGGAGTGAAGAGTACACAAAGAGCGATGCTGAGAGCAATGAGTATGGTGAAAAGTCAGGCACAGAAGGCAAAGCTGTGCAGGAGCAAGAGTGAAGGAAAAGAAGGAATGTTTAAAGCACAAACAGATTCACAGCAAACCCTGAATTGCTTGAGGGTTTGTTATTTTTTGAATTTATTTGGGCATCAGCGAGCAAAGGATTAAGAGCTGACAGGCAGTTCCTCAAACCCGAGGCCCTGGGGGAAGCCCAAAGATGCCAAAGGGCACCAAAAGCCGGCAGTCTGAGGGACACATGGAAAAAAACGGGCTGAGCACCGCCCTGGGAGAACGGCGGTGCCTGAGGAAGCAAGCCACGCGGAGAGGTTACGTCTAGCAAGAGCAGAGAGCCACTGAAACGTAGCAAAGCTCCTAAACGTTATCCGATACTGACTGGAAGCACACCTAAGCTCCAGCTATGCTACCGGCTCCTCCCGCTGCCTTGTCACCCCAAAAGAGCTGTCGGTTCTGCCGCTGAGCGCTGTTTTCTGAAGCAACAGCAGAGGGTGTCTGTGCCCCGCGCCGCAGCCCCGCTGCCCACCGGCCCGGCCCGGCCTCGCGCCCGCCCCGCTGCTGCGGCAGAGGGGAAGCGGGTGGCTCCGCGGCTTCCCCCAGCACCCATCCGTTTGCCTGGCAGTGCCAGCGCGGCCATCCGCTTTTTCCTCAGGTACTACTGCTGTTATCATTATCATCGTTAGTGCTCATTGCCGTCAAGCCAGAGATAAACATAAACTTTAAGCTGTTTCCTCAATGAGTGAAACAACTGCCTTTCTTAGGACATAAAGACTGAAAGATGCTTCAGCTCTCTTAGAGTATGTCATAAAGTGTATTTTTTGGAACTGTTACTAAATCATAGCTTACTAATTGCAGACATGAAGCTGAAAACCCGTGCCAATGCTTTGCAGCATATGGAAGTGCGACGTGTGAGACGCTTGCTT